CCTTACGTAAGGGCATCACACGGCGCCTGTAGCCTGCGGTGTCACAGGCCTGTACGCCCGTCTCCCCAAGCCCGGCAGCTGCTCGGCGAGCTTTGCCTCTTACTCCTCAAAATGCACATTTCCATGAGAAGCAAAGGGAAACCTATCCCAGATCTCATCCCTAGATGCTGCCGAAGGTTCGGAATGATGCTCGGAAGTAATACCGGCCATGCAGGAGGCTGTGGTGTTGTGTAATCACCAGTGCTCAGTGTCATAAATAAAACCGTTCATGTCTGTACATAAACATACGGAATTTGAGTCCAGTATTCTGCGTCTGGACTCTTCAGTAACGTTGTAGTCTGAACCTCTATCAACAGTGTTAGCATCTAAACTCTTACACCTTTCACCTTTTCCATGCTGTGTTGCCGCTGTCTACAACAGCACTGTAAGAAGCGCCAGGAAAGTAAGATACCCATTCATAATCATTAGACTAGGGAGTTTTTGAAGGGCTTTTTTGGTGTGTGTGTTAGGATGGGAGTTCCCTATGAACTTGTTTACAGCTGCCTTCTGTCGGAGCTCAAAGAAGAAGATGAACCAGACAAATACTTCTGGGTGGTTTGACATAAAAGCGTGCAGTAGCTGGACTGTCCAGCTTCACAAGCATCTCTGCTGACAACAAAACTTGGAATATGGGTCTGTGTATGAGCCGGCCGTGTGCGCTGGCAGCCCAGGAAGCCAACTGTATCCTGGGTTGCATCAGGAGAAGTGTGGCCAGCCGGGCGAGGGAGGGGGTTCTGCCCCTGTACTCCGCTCTTGTGAGACCCCACCTGGAGTGCTGCGTCCAGCTGTGGAGCCCTCAACATCAGAAGGATATTGACCACTTGGAGCGAGTCCAGAGGGGGCCACGGAGATGGTCCGAGGGTTGGAGCCCCTCTGCTCTGGGGACAGGCTGAGAGAGTTGGGCTTGTTCAGCCTGGAGAAGAGAAGGCTCCGGGGAGCCCTTATAGCCCCTTCCAGTACCTGAAGGGGCTACAAGGAAGCTGGGGGGAACTTTTTACAAGGGCCTGTAGTGACAGGACAAGGGGTAACGGGTTTAAATGGAAAGTGGGGAGGTTTAGAGTGGATATCAGGAAGAAGTTCTTCCCGGAGAGGGTGGGGAGGCACTGGGACAGGTTGCCCAGAGAAGCTGTGGATGCCCCATCCCTGGGAGGGTCCAAGGCCAGGCTGGGTGAGGCTCTGAGCAACCTGGTCTAGTGGAAGGTGTCCCTGCCCATGGCAGGGGGGTTGGAACTAGATGGTCTTTAAGGTCCCTTCCAACCCAAACCGTTCTATGATTCTATGTATGTGGAGATGCACTTCTATACCAGTGCTTGGTTTGGTCTGATAACATATTCAATTCTTTTGACTAAAGTGGACTCTCTCACCTCAGTTTTACAAATATTTCAATGCTCTCCATGTGCTTTAACACTTTTCTCTTTCTCCTCATACCAGTGCTAGCAGGGAATAGGTTCCATCACCGGTAATGCCAGTGTTGTTCTTTAGAGCGGCGGTTGTTTCAGAAGTAATTCAGTCTTTGGTCAAGCACAAATTCCCTATGCCTGTTTGGGTTTTTTTTTTTTGCTACTCTGCTTATAAAAGCCTGAGATCTGGAAATACAGTGTGATCTGCCTGTGTAACGCTTCTTCTGATTCACTCTCCAGCAATAGGCAATGCTTTTGCAGTTCTGAGCAACCCTGAAAAACGATTGCGATACGATGAATTTGGAAGTGACCAAGAGCACGCCAGCACTGCTCAGGCCAGGCAGTATAATTACTACACAGAATTTGAAGCAGATATTACACCAGAAGAAATATTCAACGTGTTTTTTGGTGGGCACTTCCCTACAGGTTAGTAACTGTGCACTGTTTTTGCAATGTAATGAACTGGCACTCGACTGTAAAGGAAGTTGACCTTCTCTTGATACTGCTCAGAGAGTCGATTGTACTTCTGGAAGAGCAAAAACCTTTCTGGATTTATGCTTTTCTCCCTTCCTAGCTTTTTATGCCTGGAAAAGTTCCCTTAATGCACTATTTGAACTTCAGATTTTAGCGACTCTGTTGCCAAAGGAAGCTCAAAGACCAGCTTTGCTGTCCATGAGTGCTCCTAGGAGAGGGACCTGTCAGTGGGGTAATGGCTGTTGCTGCAGTGGCAAGGTCCTGACCTCCACTCTCGCTTGAAATTTTCCGACAGCACTAGTTAGGGGTAGGAACATTTCAATTCAGCAAGAGGTTAGGCTCTTTGATTCTTGGGCAGGCAGCATTTTAATACCAGCTGTAGCTGAAGACCCTTTTTTTTGTTGTTGCTTTTATTCCCTCCTGAAGCCAGCAATGGTATGGAAGGTGAAATAAGGTGTGAATGGGAAGGGATCAGCAGTATCGTTGCTAATGGGGTTGTACCTGGGACACCTTTCTGCGTTCCAGCACCGCATGGCAGCAGCTCCCGGCGTTGTGGTCTCCGTGCCCCTGTAACCAGGAAAACATGGGGGTGCATTTGGCTTGCAGCAGCTTGCATGCTGTAAAGGAATTAAAACTTGTTAGCTTCGGAAGCGATGCCTGCCAGGAAAGGCTGGCTGTTACTGGATATGCCGTATCCAGTAACAGAACAGTAGATCTGTACCTGCACCAGCTCCCTGTGTGTCTGGGTCCAGCCTTGGCTTTTGTATTTGTAGTAAAAGTAGAAAGGTGCTGCAGGATCAGTGGGACCCAGGTTTGGGTTAAAAGTGAACCTGAAAGGCGTGGTGAGCTCAGGGGTCTTCCTGGTAGTATCTTAACAAATTGCTTTAGCACTCTTGTAAACTTTCTCACTTCTGAGGTGTGGTGTAAAGCAGCATACATGCCACTTACTACAGCCTAAAGCCACCGTAATTATCAAAAGGTAATTACTTACAGGCTCCCCATAATCTTATTCTGTGTCGTATCATCTTGCAGCAAAAGAGACTTCAATTGTTTTCAAAAGGTGATCAGCAGGTGTGCAAAGTGAGCCCAGCTCAGCGCGGCACAGTTCCACGCGGAGTTTGCAAGTTTTCCAGTTCTGACTTGGCAGGAAACAGCACCTGCATGTGCCGTTCGCCTCAGCCACCGGTGAGACATTGCCCTCGTGGAACATGACTGCTGCGTAGCCTTGGGCAACAGGGATGCGTGGAGATGAGGGCAAGAAATGGAGGAGCTGCAGGAGGAATTTGGGTACTGGGCCTGGCAGGTGACAGTGGCATGAGGAAGGAAATGGGAGTTTGGATGTGGCAGAGAACAAGAAAATAAGAAGATAATTTCATAGTCATAGGTGTTGGTAGTGAACAATAATTCTCTTGCCAACACGTTCGGCTCGGCATGTATGTGCATTTTCCTAGTCTAAAGGTGAGTTTTAAATTATGGAACATGGTCAGTTCGGTAGTTTTCCAAATAGGCAAAGTCCACACAGTTTCTGCTTAGCAAGAGAATTGCTAGTAAGAGGGTGTACAGATGGTTGATAGAAAGAGAACACTTTTTAAGCTGCTGTAATGTTAGGTAGGACTCGTGCGTGAGCGGAAGGTTGTGCTAAGCTGCCGCGTTGCGCTGGTTTTTGTTTGGTGAGGCCTTGCTGTGGCCGGGCCTTCTGGCAATCTGGGTAAGAAACGTTGGTGTCTGGGTTGAACTCACCTGTGTAGCTTTTGTGGGCAGGTTTATGGCTTTGGTTTTACTCTGCATTTTTCCTCTACGGAAATTCAGTGGGAAAATATTAAGTTAAAATGTTGAACGTCGTGGAGTCTAAAAGGAAAGTCTCCACGTGGCATTGTGTTGAAGGGTAGAGGCTGCAAGTTGAACTTCCTTCTCAGAAAAATTCAGTGCACATGGAATGCAACAAACCACTGGCAGAAGTTCTTTGAGAAGCTTGGGATTTGGGCAAACTCTTTCACAGCTTGATGAAATATTGTCTGAGCAGCGTCAAGTGGTAGAGAAACAAACTTTCTTTTTCAGGAAAGAAAGTTTCCTTCTTCAGGCCAGTTGGGCTTTCCCTTGGAGATGTGACAGTCTTTGAATAAGCACTAAAACACGTTTTGACACAATAGCAAAGGTCGCTTCCACCCAAGATTCTTGCAGAATTCATTGGGAAGTTCGGAGAAAGGACACTGTAAGAGCGTAAAATAATGTGACAGCTTTCCCAGGGCTTAACCAAAGATTTGCATGTCTGTTGTCATAAGGCCATAAATTTCCATTATTTAATGCACAGACGTTCTGAATTTCAGGAGAGGAGAGCACAGCTATTATTAAGATATTCATATGGTAATAAAATCAGAGTTCAAGCTTCAAATGGAAACAGCATATGCAATTCTTTCCTCATTTTACAATTTAAAAAAATAAATCCATTGCATTCAGTGTGCAAGAAAGGAAATCCTGAATTGTACTCCTTTTTTATCCAACAAGCTGGTTTGTAAATCACTGTCCTTGTCAGAAAATCATGAAGTGAAACTATGAATAGCTTGAAGGAAGAGGAAGTAGAAGTGAGTGTAGAAGACCGTGTTCAGCAATTATGGGAAGCCATAATTCATGGCCTGGCTCTGGTGAAGCAAATGCATTTTCCTGCTTAGAGCCTGGGGCTGCAACACAAGCTACCACCTTGCGTGTGAATGTGACAAAAACTATTAAAATATGAGGTACAATAATGAAAATTACAGCGTGTTTCTGCGGTTTGATTTTAATTAAGGGGGACTTGGGGCACTCTACAGTTTCTCCGGTATGCTTTTTGGAGCAACATGTCGTTTTGGCTTTTGAATCTCAGGTGTGTTTGTGCTTCTTAATGTGAGGTGTCAACTGTAACTGGATAGCCTGGATAACCAACTAGAAACCCTGAGAAATACAGGTGAGTACCAGCTACTGCATGAAAATCATGAGTCTCTCTCGGTTTCTTTTAACAGGAAATATCCATATGTTCTCAAATGTGGCTAGGGATGCACACTACTATCCACAGAGGCACCGGACAGGAGCAAGAGGAGGAAGAAAACAGGCCACAGGTATCCAGGAGGAGGGATCTCTTGGGTTTAAATATTTCACGAGGGTAGGGGTTGACTTACACATTGGAAGCCAGGACAGACCTTCCCATGCTTAAATGCTTGGTGTTTATCCTCAAGTGCTGCAGCCAAAGTGGGTGTTTTCAGAAGTAACTAGATTGTCTTTTGTTAATCACTATTTAAAAATGACGTTGTACTGATAGGACTGTGAGGCCTGGAGTTTCTGTCACCGAGTGTTTTGAGGGTGCTTCCAGTTTGCAAATTCTAATGGTTTGGTAATCCAACGACAATTAGTCCGAATGTGGACTGGTAACAGATATGGAAGTACTGGCTTGTCCCCGTGGCATATTTATTCCTTCAGTAAATTAGCACAGAGTCTCTGCCCAGGTGCTGCCCAGGCTTTTTCCAGCCCGGGTCAGGATAGGTCTGGGATATTTGCCTACCAACTGAAACCTCTAGATCTGTAGACGCAAGGTGTCATTTGTTGCTAGCGTGCACACACATGTGCCACCTGCCTTGGCAAAATCTTCCTCTGGAGGCAGCCTGCTAACCTAACAAGGTCGTTCTCCAAGGAAGGTGAATTACAGTCGGGCTCTTAAAAAACCCTGACACAGCCTATGAACAGAAAAGATCTGGGGCAAATGAGTCCCACCTACTCCTCTGTAAGGTATTCTTGGTGCTATCCCAGGCCAGAGAGCAAAATCTAAATAGCTGCCTTTTATATTTTGCTCCTGAATTAGAAAAGGCATTTTAGAAGCTACTTTAGAAATCAGATGAAGAGCAGGAGAAAAGATCTGGGCTTTCTCTGATATATTTCCACAGTTTTTGTTCTGCTAAATTCATTCAAACAAAAAACCCAAGTGCTTGCATGCTGTCCCGAGTTACACTACGTATGGTCTGTTAAGCCTTTGCTTTTCAGCCACTTTATCCAGTGTTTGAACAGAGATTGAGGTTTTTGGAACACATGTAGCAAACTTTGGAAGGTGCAGGGAAAGCTGCAGGCACAAACGGGAACTGCAGTGTGCTCCTTCAGTTTGGGTTGTCAGCTGGTCACTGACAGGTACCGTGCAGTGGGCATCTGTCACCTTGTGGAGGAGCTGTAGGTGAAAGAGTTACCGTGGAAATGGAAGTGGAAGAAAGTGGCTTTAAAGAGCTTTCTGAGATTATTGATAAAGGTAATTTTGAAATTAAAAATCTTCCCTCTCAAAATTTGAAAGTATTTCCTCCTCCTCGCTGTTCTGTTGGCGTTTAGTGCATTGCTGGACTGTGAAGGATAGCCTGGTTGGTCTGTGAAGACTAGCCTGGTTCCTGTGAACAGATGCTCCTGTATCTTTTCTTGTCTGCTAATTGTTGTTGTTCTTTTCAGAATTCGTATTCTGCATTTATTCAGTTGATGCCAGTTTTCATAATAATCATAGTGTCCGTTATAACTCAGCTGATGGCCACTAACCCACCCTACAGCTTATTCTACAAATCGTAAGTCATTTAAAACCACATTTTTCTGGCTGTTGGTGCTTGTGATAAGGAGGCAGACGGCAGTTGGACTCCATAGCAGGATGCACGTTAGTGTTCTGTCCTGCTCCTTCTAGAAAGCGTTACGGATTTGTCACTAAGGCAGTGCCAACAGTCCCTATTGACAAGTTCTGCTGAGGGTTGTCGCTGTGAAGTTAACGATGGCGTGCTTTGCTGTGCTGAACAAATAGGGGCACGGAGCCAGGGCGCTTGCTCAAGCCTCGTGAAATGGTTTTGCCCCGTGATACAGTAGCAGGAAAAAATCAGCTACAGTGCTGAGCAGCCCCCAGGGAGCTGCGGACCACCGCAGAGGTTCCCATATAAAGCACCGAGGACGTGAAGCCTGCTGTATAAATCCAAATCTGCTCTGGAGCCTGAATTCCAATGGAAGAATTGTCAAGCTCTGCAAATAGTTAAAGCCTTGAAATGCCCTGGTTTAACATCCGTAAAGAAGCAGGACACGGGTTGCAGAGGGCCATCTGAACTGCTCCACTCTGGAAGCAGAAGGAACACCCAGGCCTGCTGTAACTTGAGTTTGTGGGGCAGAGGAAAACCCACTCGCTGCTCTTGGTATCCAGTGCTGGGAGGAGGGAAGCTGTCTAGTGGGAAAGAGATGACCACGTCAGTTACCTTCCCTGTCTCTTACTGAGATGGGGGTGGGAGTGAGCAGGTTTTGGAGAACCTGCTGTCCACAGCAGCAGCAGAGTGCTCCAAACACTTCCCTTGCTCCCTTCTAGGAGCAAAACTACATAGGTTTAGGCCCACAACCTCTCCACAGTCGTTGTAGCCCAGCACCCTTCATCGCTTTTACCACACGGTGTCAGTGTGTAGACCTAGCATAGGAACAGGGGGGTGGTTGTTTTTCGGTTTGGGTTTGTTGTTGGGTAGGCTGGTTTTTTTTTCCAGAGAGTGGTTCTGCTATCTGCCAGTGCCATGTGGAACCTCCCACACTGCCCCCAGAGCAGCTAATCTCTCCTGCTTTTCTTCACTACCTCCTCTTCTCCTGTGGATTTGAGATAGGCAGGCCTCAGCCTTGTACACAGCTATGCCGTTTCTCTAAATCATATCTTTAAAGAAAACTAACAGCCTAAAAACTGAAAAAAAAAGGTTTACATGAAGAAAGCATACGCCTCCGAGATGTAGCGAGAGAGAAGGAAAAGAGGAGTCCAGGAAATAGAGGCACACTGGATTCCATTGAGTAGAGTGTAACCTTTGTTTTGGCTGCCTGCCTCTTCCCTGGGCAGTGATATGCAAAAACGCCGGGGTATCTGTGCTCAAATAAGGAAATTCGGTAGGACGGGATAGTTTAATCCGGTGGCTGTGTCTCTGGGATAGCCCGTGCCCCACTTCACATGCTGGTGATTGTAACAGCCTGCAGTCTAACTAGAATCTCCTCTGCTGGTTCTTATTTCTACTAAAGGATCCAGAAACCAGGAAAATCCAGATCCAGTTGCATTATTCCCTAAGCAATAACGGGGTGTAGAGATTATAGGAAATTGTTATTATATATTTGTCATCAACTCTCATGGATTTCTGGACCCAGCTTGTCCAAAATTACTGCCAAACAGAGGAAAGCATACAGAGCTTGTGTTTTGGAAGTCTCTTAGGTTTTGGAAGTGTCTTGACTGAGCTGCTGAGAGCAAACACAGTCTTTGGAAGGAATTTGCAGCTCTGAATCAGGTCTTTGTAAATATTTCCAAGCTGTAGGAACTTTCACTGTGTTTTTAAGGGGCGGGGTGAGGGATGTGAGTGAATTCGGTTTGTAATGCGCAGCTTGCTGTGCCTGAGACTTGTCATTTCCTTATCCGATGGTGGAGGGAGCTGCGCTCTGCAGAAAGTGACTGTAACTAAGTTGTGAATCCTGTCCTCCGGAAATGCCTATACGGAGAAACATGCCTGGATTTCTTTCTATTTGGAGGGCTAAAGCAAGGTGTTTTCTCCATGGTGTTTCCACAGGTCCATAGGCCATGTTATTAGTCGAGAAACAGAGAACTTGCAGGTGCCTTACTACGTTGATAAAAACTTTGAAAAGAATTATCAAGGAGCAGAACTTCAAGAACTAGAGAAAACGGTGGAAAAAGATTACATAGACTATATCCAGACCAGCTGCTGGAAGGAGAAACAGCAGAGTAAGTTATTTTTGTTAGAGGTGCGTGCCTGACACCCGTCGGTGGTTGTGCTTCACAAAGCGCTGCCGGTCTAGCCTCCTTTTCCCCCGTGTGTAGCCTCTCGGGCCTCACACTGCTATTTCTCACACTTCCTCTTAACACTAAATTTTCTGGTTTTGAGGTTCTGAGAGACAAGTGGAAAGTAGATTTCACCATTTGAGACATTTTTTTCCACTCAGACTTTTATGCTTGAATAACTCTTAGTGGTGATGTTTCAAACGTATAATCCACCACATTATCTACTCTGACAGATTGTTAGGGCTAGAAGAGACCTTGAGACATCACCTACTCCACGTTTCCTTTGCTGGAGCAAAATAGTTTTTGCTTTGACTGGCTCCACGAGAAGATTACCTAACTTTTCCCCAAAACTTCATTGGAAGGATGAATGCTTTTGGTAATCTTGCAGTGGGCTGTGTTACTGGTATCAGTTTCCACAGAGCGGGCTTCTGTGCTTGTTTTGTACGCTTATTTGCATTTTCTATCTTTAGATGGGATTGAGATCATGTTTTTCACCAGAGCTGGGATTGTCTTTTAAAAGCAAGAGCTGAATACAGAAAGGGAGAACACGGAGATGTGAGCATTCAAAATCGTGGCAGTCCTGGGTCGATCAGTGGCACGCACAGACACAGTTTTTAGCTCTATGTCGCATTATTTGTTAACAACTGCTCTTCCAGCTCATTTGAAATAGCGGCTGAGAGAGTTGGGGGTGGGAGAAGAGAAGGCTCCGGGGAGACCTTATAGCCCCTTCCAGTGCCTGAAGGGGCTACAAGGAAGCTGGGGGGGACTTTTTACAAGGGCCTGTAGTCACAGGACAAGGGTAACGGGTTTAAATGGAAAGTGGGGAGGTTTAGATTGGATAGCAGGAAGAAGTTCTTCCCGGAGAGGGTGGGGAGGCACTGGGACAGGTTGCCCAGAGAAGCTGTGGATGCCCCATCCCTGGAAGTGTCCAAGGCCAGGCTGGATGAGGCTTGGAGCAACCTGGTCTAGTGGAAGGTGTCCCTGCCTATGGCAGGGGGGTTGCAACTAGATGGTCTTTAAGGTCCATTCCAACCCAAACCATGCTGTGGTTCTATGAAATCCCTACTTCTTTTGTAACTGTACAGCATAACAGAAATCTAATTACAAGGACTCGCTGAAGTTGGGATGTCATGACTGTTTTTTTTTTTTTCACCTGGAGAACCTTAAAATGAGTGAACACCAAGCTCTGCTGTGCATAAAGGACAGTGGCAGTTGTTTCTGGGTAAATGTTTAGTAGCAGCAGGCAAGCCACTTTCACACGTGAGCGGGGCTTTCTAAACTGCTCAGTGCCAAACGGTCCTCAGCACACTACTAAGAAGTGACTTTGCACTTGTTCGCAGTTTCTCTGCCGGTTGCATCATTATGGTAGCACATGCTTAGTCTAACCAAGCCTTGTTTAATCCTGTGCTAGAGGTAGCAGTAGTGTTGCTGGCTCCAAACTATGTATGGATTGGGGAGGGTTGTTGTGTTTTCATTCAGAGACTGGGGGTTTTATTTTACGTAAAACTCACCAATCTTGCTTTTAGAGAGAAGTATACTGATGTAGGCTCTGAAGTTAAGAAAGTAAAAAACCCCATAGTATAAGGCCTTAAAAATCCCAAACAATCCTTTAGTTTTGGGTGTGCTGGACTTGTGAACACTGTGGCTGGCAGTAGCAGCCTTAGGTGTGAAGTGGCTGTTAATAACCGTAGATGTAGGCTTCCTGCAGGGACAGCATCCAGTTCTTACACAAAAGTCCTTGTAACTGACCTTGTGCGGCTGAAAGTCGCCGTGTTCCCTTGCACGTAGACCTTGAGCTAAGGAGTGTTGTGCCCCAAAACGGGCAGCAGGGTTTGCGAGTCTGGGGAGACTGGCAGTCAGAGAGGGGGAGATGATCCGGCACTGAATGCCAAGCGGTGCCTGCGGAACAGGCCTCCTCTGCAGCGTTTTGCACTCAGAGACTGTTAATCACACATCTGCAGTTTACAACGTCCACAGTTAGCAGTAGCCTGAGGAGAGCGCTGTAGTTAAAAACCCCCATTTTCAGGTTGAGCACCATCCAGGCCAGCGAGCAGGGCTGAGCGCGGCTGAGGCTCGGCTAACTTTAGTCTAGCCAGGTCTGTAAAAATAAACTGCGGGTGCAAGATGGAGTGCGGGGGAGGAGGTCTCTGGGGGCGTGAAGACAGTTCCGAGTCAGTTGTTGTTTCTTAACTTTGGTCCATTAATTCGTGTTTAAGTGTTTAACTCCATGTGGTCAACTTTGGGGTTTTTTTGTCAGTTGAATGTCTATTAATAGTACATTTGTTTTGCTCATGGAGGGTGCTTTTCTCTTTAGAGAACAGGTTGATTTTAAAGTCCCTGATTTTATAATTTGACAAGTGTTACCTGGTGTCCCACGACCTCAGTGTAGACTTTGGGAGCGACGGATCCATCGGCATGGTGTCCAGGCAGCTGCTCTGACGCTGCAGCAGCAGGCAGCGTGCCTCCCGTTGCAGCAGAGCAGCGTGTAACGCTGCGTGTGCCGTGCGTGTTGGTCGTCTGATGTCGTTGATAGAGCTGCATGCAGACAGCACGTCCCAGGTTTTTACAGGAGGTGGTTGAGCTGTGATCAGGAAGAAGTTCTTCCCGGAGAGTGTGGGGAGGCACTGGAAGAGGTTTCCCAGAGAAGCTGTGGATGCCCCATCCCTGGAAGTGTCCAAGGCCGGGCTGGATGAGGCTTGGAGCAACCTGGTCTAGTGGAAGGTGTCCCTGCCCATGGCAGGGGGGTTGGAACTGGGTGATCTTTAAGGTCCCTCCAACCCAAACCATTCTATGGTTCTACGATCGCACAGTTGTAAGGCTGCAAGGAGCTCCAAGGCAGGGAAAATGACCAAGAGGCGATGGGAAACAGAGAGAAGGATACCTAGTTGGAATTAGGTATTTCAGGAGTTTCTTAAGGACGAAAAAGTTCAGAGGAACAACTCTCTGTAAAAGATGGGAAGACATGAGAAACCAGCGTGACGGAATGAACGCCGTCGAAGCGCAAGCGCTTGCGGTCAGTGGTTTTGCCCAGTTGGATACGTGTGGAGTGAGACTCTTCTCTGCAGAACTCCAGGGACTCTGGGCTCGGAGACTGCTCCCCAAGTCTAGTTCTGCTGGAAGCTTGTCAAGCCTATGTGCCTAGCTCAACCTGAGTGGCATTTTGGGTATAAAACCTCAGAATGGGTTGCTGATCTAAAGTACTCGTGGCTGTCAGTTTGTCAGGCTTGTCAGTAAGTAGGTGGAGCATCAGGTGGCTTCAAATTTCAGTGGAGTGGGGGCAGAAGGCATAAGGCATGAAAGGACCCGCTGAAGTTCTTTCCACTCTGAAGGATTTTGTCAAATGAGGGACTTGTAAGGTGTATAAAAGCTCTTTGAGAAATGGAGTGTCACCAGGTAGCCTGTGCTTAGGGAAATTTTGACCTTTTCAGAAACAAATTACTGGGATGCTCTTAGGTGCATCCAATTCCCTGGGGAGAAAGCTGTATTGAGACTTCCTTAGCTAATCAACAAAAGAAACTTCTGTGAATTACTGGGGGGAAATAATTTAAACAATGAGATTATTTCAGTTTTATGTTGCTTTTGAGAAGAAGGGGAAAAAGATATGCAGAGTAGGTTGAGACTGTGTTGTTAATGAAAGGGCACAGGGACCTTTCCGACGAGTCCCGCTGTTCATCTCCCTGCAATCAAAACCAAAACACCCACCAAACCCCCAAATAAAAAGAATTTACAATGCACTGTGGTCAGAACTCTTGCCAGACAGAGCTTGAATTCTGAGAAGTGCAGGGTCAAAAAAAAAAACTCCACCCAAACCAATTATCTGCACCTTAAAGTCTCTCTTTGGCCGGGTGCTCTGGGCCCTCGCAGGGCTCAGCCAGAGGGGTTGGGTTTCTGAGTTACGTGGGCAGGGCTCTGCGCCGCCTGGTTTGTGGTACCTGAAGGGGCTACAAGGAAGCTGGGGGGGACTTTTTATAAGGGTCTGTAGTGACAGGACAAGGGGTAATGGGTTTAAATGGAAAGTGGGGAGGTTTACATTAGATATCAGGAAGAAATTCTTCCCAGAGAGGGTGGTGAGGCACTGGGACAGGTTGTCCAGAGAAGCTGTGGATGCCCCATCCCTGGAAGTGTCCAAGGCCAGGCTGGATGAGGCTTGGAGCAACCTGGTCTAGTGGAAGGTGTCCCTGCCCATGGCAGGGGGGGTGGGACTAGATGGTCTTTAAGGTCCCTTCCAACCCAAACCATCCTGTGATTCTATGATGATTCTGTGATTCCTGCCTTGCTCCCTGGGCTGCAGGCAGCTGGCACAGCCGGAGGAGGCGAGAGGAGAAGTAGGCGTGAGGTTCTCTTTCCTGCCGGCTTGTCACTTAACACTGCTGGCAGGTGTGGGGTAACCCACAGTGCCTTAACATTTTAAGGCAATCGCCTGTTCTGCAGATCATTAACAATTTGAAACCTTACCTGACTTCTAAGCTATATTTTTATAGTTGATGATTTCTTTGTAGACAGTAATAATCAGTCTTTCTGGGTTTGGGTATTGTTCTACTCGTGCAGCGGGAGAGAGGGTTGTTGGAACTGTGTGAGTTTTCAAGCGATTAGGAAAATGCAGGTTTCTTAAGGAGACAGCCTGGTTACACCTGATGGGCCTCTCTTCCATGGGGCTGCGGAGGTGCCCAGTTTCACTGAAACGAGGTGAATGAAAAAACCCACCAGGCCACAGGGATAACAAAGCCCTGAGAAACAGTTATTTAAAGCAGGCTCACAGCTTCATCCTAATGTTGGGATTTCTTTCATCTTTCAGAGTCTGATCTGTCAAATTTGGCCAAGCTGTACAGAGATGAGCGGTTGAAACAGAAAGCGGAATCCCTGAAACTTGAGCACTGTGAGAAGCTCTCCAGCCTGATCGGAATGCACAAAGGGGGCTGAGCAGGCCACACGCGTTCTGTAGTTTTATTTATTGCTGTTTTAACTTATGGTTTTATTTTCCTTTGTATAAAAGGGAAGGAGTCTACTGTAAAGAGTCTGAAAGTCTGCCTCCCTCTGCATGTAGTGCAGGGGTGGGCCAGCACAAGCTGTCGAGCTGGTGTTCGCTGTAACATACTGTACACTGTACTTGGTTCCAAGGACCGGTGGCACGCTGTAAATTAATTCCCTGGGAAACGCGATCGGTTTGGAACCTGTCTTCATGGGTAGTTTGTCTGCCACCCCAACGGTCTGTGCCTGCCAGGAGAGCAGGCGGATGTCTTGGCTTTCTGTGTTTGATACGGACCCGCAGTTCAGCCGCTCATACGCCCGGCATCGCGTCGGCGTGCAGCGCGCGAGC